CAGAGAGAGAATATTGTTGGGCACATGAGACATTCGTCGTGAGTTATAGCATTTGTTATAGCACGACTGTTGAAATTAAGTGTATTGCAAAGTTGTATTCAGAAAGAATAAACCAGTTTTATTTAAGAAAGGACTTGTATCGGTAAAGTATCTTTGGTAAGAATTTTTACGAAAAATTAACTAACGAATGGAGACATAACAATATCATACACATAGGATTTAAATCCATTAACTCAAATTATAGTTAATGGAGTTATTATGTGACAAGAAAAATGGGCCACTTGACTAAATTATAGTTTTACTGTTATGTGAATAGGTACTAACTACTGATAAAATAACATTATGAATTGAGTCTGCAAGTCACAGGTTTGAATCCAGTCACTGAACATGCTCACTTTTTCAGACATGAAGGCATTATGATGTGAGGGTTAATCCTATTTTTTGTTGGTGAAGAGTAGACCTAGAGTTAGCAGTGGACATGTTTACTAGCTTCCTTCCTTCCAATTTTTCACTTCTAAGTTAGGGATGGCTAGTGCAGAAAGCTCTTGAGTAGCTTTGCCCAAAATTCAACAAAACAAACAAAGCTTAATTTAACTCTTTCTGTATCTTCTTGAGAGATTGGACATTGACAACCAAGTTCAAACTGTTCACAATTAATGGGCATATTTTAATTTTGTTTAAAAATAGAAAATTTTAAGTCTTTTTCTTTCTTCTTTAGGTACCACTAGTGAATAGCTGTCAACGTAGAATTCTAATTCTTGTCAGTATCTGTTCTGTGGCATGTAGTCTAATAATTCTTACCATTTCGATGGCTCTTCAGGTGAGCAAGTACCATCATTGTCTTTTGAAAATACACCTGTTTACACAGACTTTTAATAAATGAGTAAAGTACCGATTTTATTGTTTCAATAAAAAAGTTACAGTAAGTAATAGTTTGAATGTAAGCCTGTTTACAAAGTTTCTAAATGGTCTTTCATATGATTAACTGAAAACACGATTATATAGTCTCCTCAAAAAATTATGTTTACCCACTCATCACAGTACTGTACAAGAATAAAGCACATGTTTAATAAGCACATTAATAAATAAATATCTTGTACAGTTATTTCATCGTATTTTTGTTTAATTAAAAAACCTTTGAAACCTTTGTTTCAGAGCGTATCTCCTGCCTTATCATACGTTATAATTATTTCTTCTCTGTGCTTTGTCCTTGGGTATGGAATTGGTTTGGGTAAGTGTCTTGTGGAAACAACACTGCCTATTTTTTATATATTGTTTGCCATCATTATTTAATATGTTTCTTTTTAATTAATACTTAAAATAATGTAATTTTTAGGACATTAATAATATTGTATAACTGAGCAATGTTAGTGCCTTCCCTCTAGTCTTACACTGCTAAACTAGGGACGGCTAGCGTGTAGCTTTGCGTGAAATTCAAAACAAACAAATCATTTCAAATTAACTCATTAAATACCTGTAGCGAGCTGAATTCCAAATGAAAAAATAATGAATGAGAGTGCTAAAGCTTGTAGATACTCAATGAAAATTTATTGACAAGATTTCGTGATCTAGTTTTTTAATCTACAAATACTGAGTGAGTTGTCTTGGATAATTTTATTGTTCTGTTTTCCAACCATAAGTACTAAGTAAAGATGTGTTGCTTAACTTTAAGTTAGATGGTTTCTAAGCTAAAAATACTGACAGTAAGTTAATTGCTTATATTATCAAAAATAATATAGAGTAACAAAGTTTCTTATCTCTAGTTTTAACCAGTTATTGTTAAACTCATTAAATTTAAACCAGTATTATACAAACAATGTGAAGTTATGCTAAGAGCATAAGATATTTAACCAGTATTTAGATAAACGATGTGGTGTTCCTCTGAGAGCACATTTATTGACAGATATTTAACCAGTGTTATACAAACAATGTGAAGTTATGCTAAGAGCATATTTATTGACAGATATTTAACCAGTATTTATATAAACAATGTAGTGTTACACTAAGAGCACATTTATTGACAGATATTTAACCAGTATTTAGATAAACGATGTGGTGTTACACTAAGAGCACATTTATTGACAGATATTTAACCAGTATTTAGATAAACGATGTAGTGTTACACTAAGAGCACATTTATTGACAGATATTTAACCAGTATTTATACAAACAATGTGAAGTTACACTAAGAGCACATTTATTGACAGATATTTAACCAGTATTTAGATAAACGATATAGTGTTACACTAAGAGCACATTTATTGACAGATATTTAACCAGTATTTAGATAAATGATGTGGTGTTACACTAAGAGCACATTTACTGACAGATATTTAACCAGTATTTAGATAAATGATGTGGTGTTACACTAAGAGCACATTTACTGA